GAAATGGACAGATTGACTTTAAAAATAAAAGAGAAAGAAGACTGAGTGTATTTTAGAACATGGGATAATTTCTATCAATGGTTAGAAACATGAGTTAGAGAGAAAGGAATGTGATATGTAACCTTGAATATATATTAGTAAGAAGAAAACTATCGAGTGATTAATTAACATATTGTTTATGATAATTAACTATTATCTATTATTTCTTGTTAAATACATGAACCCAGACATTATGCTGTTTGCTAAATATTGATAATGTTATTTGGAAAAACCCTAACCCCAACCCTAATCCTAACCTGAACCCAAATCCTAATCCCAAACCTACCTCATCCCTAACCCTATAAAAACTAATAAAATGTATACAAAAAAAGAAAGAAATAGAAAGATTTTGGATATAAATGAATTTTAGTTTAAGAGGGATGTGCCCCTCAAGTAATATACTATTTTTCCTTTCTTTTTTCCTTTGTGTTTTTTTTTTGACATGAGAAATATAAAAATGTTGGAATGGTTTATATAAAGAAAATGTTTTAGATACTTAAGTGAAATTGATCTTGAGAAAACTTAGAATGAATAAAAAATGTTTTGATTAGATCTAAAAGATTAGATAATTGGATTTATTTAAAAGGAACACTTAAAGATTTAACATATGCTTGAATATGGTTAAAAAGAAGAGAAAAATTCTGGATATAAATGTACATCAGTCTAAGAGGGATATGTATTTTAAGTAGTATACTATCTTCTTATTTCCTTTCCTTTCCTTTTCTTTTCTTTTTAATTTTTTTTCTTTTTTTAAGATATGAGAAATGTAAAAGTGTTGGGATGGCCTGTATGAGGAAAAAGACTTAAATACTTAAGTGTAATGAAAATCTTAACAGTAAGAATTTTTTGAATACTGCGGGGAAAACAAATTTAAATAAGAATTTTAAACAGGATTTATGATAAGGCAATCAAGATGATCAGTTAGAAAAGAAGTTTTATATCAATGTGATTATTTGCAGAAATATTAGAAAAATGTCTATATTTAATTGTTATTTATCCAAATAATAAGAATTGTATTAATTCAAAGATGGCAAAAGAGAACATTTTTGGAAGAAGAGAACATCAAGCAAACCTATTATGTGGACTATAGAATTATAGAAACTAATTGTTATTGATTGTTTTTTTTAAAATATAAACCCAGACAACACAATGTTTACCAAATATTAAGGTGATTATGTAAAAACTTTTACATAATATTAATAAAACATATTTTTTTAAAAATAAGAAAAGCTATATTTATGGGAAAAGCTTAATAAAAATAACAAGAATTAAAAAGGCATATTATAGAAGATGAATTCAGCTATTGGTTTTCTCTCTCATCCTGAGTGGAGGATGTAGATATTTGCTTGTTTGCTTATTTGCTTAATAACAATGGATTTGCTAGACATACCTCAGAGAATATCCTCTTCCTACATTTCCCATTAGCTTGCTAAGATCTTTTAATCAACTATGCAAAAAGGAGAAGGAACGTTAGATGATCTTTCTCTAGAAAGACTCTAGGCCCATGGTGGCGAACCTATGGCAAGCATGCCACAGGTGGCACGCAGAGCCCTCTCTGTGGGTGCACACCATCGACCCAGTCCTAAGCCTTCAGGTTTTAGCTTTAGGCCTCTGCCGCTGTATGAAAAAAAAAAGGTTTAATCAATCAATCAATTTCAACTTCTTGTGGGGAAAAAAAAGATCTCGCAAAGTTGGAATTGATTGATTGAACTTTTTAGTCCCACCCAGTCTGCCATTATCACTGCAGCTACGCCCACCCAATGGGCCATGCCCACCCGGCACCCGATAAGTGGGTTTTGGGTTGCAGTTTGGGCACTTGGTCTCTAAAAGGTTCGCCATCACTGCTTTAGGCTGAATCCCTGGAGAGTTGCTGCTGGTGAGTATAGAACTAGATGGAGCAAGGCCCTGAATTAGTATCAAATGTCATGCAAAGAATAAATAGACCACAAGTTTTTTTAAAGCATGCAAAGTACAAGTGTTGAAGACAGATAGATATATAGTTTCTAACTAGATATATGGTCAGAGTGCTATGCAAAATGCCTGACCTGAACAAAACATTTCTGCATCCTCTGGAAATATCTGTTTTGAAAACTTTTCCAGGTTATTTGCATGTCCATGTACATCCCAAACAAACCTTGCATCGGAACTGCTGTAAAAAAAAAGTTGTGGATGCACATATCCAGCGCTGATCCTAGGTAGCTTTCAAAATATCTATATTTTGCCTCTATGGGTTTACAACTGTCTCAACTATCATTATAGGTGTTAAAAAAATTATAGAGGGTGGCCTTGATAGAGAAAGGATAGAGTTGCCCTGTTAGGGAGATAACAGATACATTAGGTAGGTAGGTAGGTAGGTAGGTGGGTGGGTAGGTAGGTAGGTAGATAGATAGATAGATAGATAGATAGATAGATAGATAGATAGATAGATAGATAGATAGATAGATAGATAGATAGATAGATAGATAGATAGATAGATAGATAGATAGATAGATAGATAGATAGATAGATAGATAGAAGAAATTTGAGTATGGGACAGAACTGAGAGAAGAGAAAATGTTTCAGTCAAGACCCTTGTTAGGCCTTAAGAAGATAGGGGGCAGGGGGAGTTCATTCAGATATGCAATATTTTTGCTATATCTTTGTAATAAAAGTAGTATTCACCTCCGTGACTTTTGTTTCCAAGTCTGGTTTATTTTGAGGTGCTGATAATTTCGATTCTAGTATCCTTCTGCAAATGTCCTGAAAATTCTGTTCTGTCTAATACCCTACATAAAAATGGGCATTATGGATTTTATTCTTTGATTAATAGATAATCCAATTAATACTTTTTTAATCTTTAATAACTTAGATTTTTCCCATCAGATTATTTACAGATATGCATAGATATAGAAAGAAAACAATTCACATTGATAACTATCAGAAAACAGAAAGAAGAAATATATAATCAGTAGAAATCCTTTCTTGAAATATATCCACATAAATCTTATATTCTAAATATTTTTTAATTTTTTTGATTTGAATATTGACTGAACAAACAATAAATCAACTAACACTGATAATTCTATAACCAAATAATATGGAAATAGAGAAAATTTTCATAAAAATAAACTGTTAAAGCTTTTTTACAAGAAAAGATATACTAAGATTTGTTCAGCATAAGTATCCAGTTTTCTGGACAATTTTTATGACAAGGAGAGGAACAAATATCCTCCTGAATATTTTGCAAATGAAACTTGTATAATGTCTTTTGAAGCATTATTCCTTTTGTTTTTGTTGGCAAAGTTGATTTCCCACTTCTCCAGTTTTGTTCTAAATAGCTAAAACATAAATCCAAATCAACAAGGGTCCTTTTAAAATAAAGCCTCAGCATTATGTATAAAAGCTAAAATGTGATGAATCATAACTATAATTTTATTTAATATTTATAATATTAGTAAAATATTTATTTCAATTTCACTTGATTTATGAGATAGAGTTAGGACAGAATTATATGAGAAATAGAAATACTATGAATTGAGATTAACAATTAAGAGGAAAGCTCATAGCAATGCATCACATGTTAGTATTTAGGGATAAAAAATTGCTTGTCAAATTTTATTGAAGAAAATCCAGATAACATCTATTCTTGAAAAATTATGTCAGAAAAATAAGTACAATCTTTTGAATTGCTATTTTTATGCATCAACAAGCTTTAAATTGTCCATCAAATAATAAAAAATATTTTATTTATCTTGTGTAATTTTAATATTTTTCTTAAAAGTTCTATCTACTTGTAAAAGGATTATTCCAATCTCCTATGAAACACCAATTTTCATGAGAAAAGCCCATTCGTCTTTCTATAAGTCCTTTATAGAACGTTGCTTTATCCTCATTTAAGACATACATTCCATATATCAGATTTTTAACCCCATGAAAATTAATTTCCATCCCAATATATCTACCATTTCATCGGTCAATAGAAGTTGGGAGTTTATTTTTTTCAAATAATGATTTTTTTTGGTAATTTTTGAAGAGCATTTGGTCCATTTAAATTCCATTTTAAGCATTGTAATCCATAATAAATGTTAAATTACATGATAATTGTAAGCAGCTAAGAAATAGAAGTAAAACAATGGTGTTGATTTTTCTTAAAGTTTTACTTAACATAAACTACATTTTATTGTATGCAGTTTCTTCAAACAAAAAATAGATTTTTAAACTTTACCTTCTGTAGCTTTTTAGACAAGAACAATGAGCCAATGTTTTCTGTTCTAAAGCCAATAGAAGCAAAGTGCTTAAAAGGATTATACAGGTTACTGCAGAAGCAGATTAGACTTTGCAAAGTCATTTCTTGCTGCATTTGCAGTGATTAATAGGGTACAAATTGGTTATTTCCCTAAATCTTGGATCAAGCAAGGTAGACATGACACTGCCATTCTGATTCACATGAGACTAAAGAACTGCTGAGGTCTGTTAAAGAAGGTATGGAAATGATATAAATAGTTGCTTTTTAAATGCAACAATAGTAAGAGCATATAACATTTTTAATGACAGATTATCTCTTTAATCAGTGGCATTAACAATTAATACTATAAATATCATCATCATGTCATGCTAGAAGTGACATGCATAACGTTTTCCTTCATAGTATAATGTACATAACCTTCCTTCCAAGTTACGGCCTGCATTCACAGCATTGAGTTCTTAAAACTTCACAAAAATAAAAATCATTAGGCTATGATTTTCACAACGCACAATGCATTATATTTTTTATACTATTTCATTATTAAACTCAGCCAATGTGAAATATATTCATTATGTGGATTTTATTTATTTATTTATTTTGCTTTTGTTCTTTGAAATGTTGCAGGAGCTTGGATTTTTAAGTATTATATTCTCAAAATACAAATTTGCTTTCAAAAGTGATAGAGCAATAAACCCATGTAGAAATCTATAACATTTCATGCTTTTTTGTTTTTCAGAAAAATGTGAAGAACCTCTGGTCTCGAGCTTAGCACCCTCCTTCTTCAGCAGTTCATCATCTCTGTCATCTACGTCAAATAGCTATTCACCAGGGTTTGCCAAACTAAACAAACGAGGAGGTAGGATTTTTGCTTTTAAAATTGTATTGTATATTATATTAGTATATACTATTTATTTAGGTATACTATATATACACCTACTCACACGCACACACAAAGCATACTTTTTGAACTATAGGATATTAAGTTTTAAGTTTTTTAAATGGCATTCTGCTAGAAAACTAACAAATAAAGAACTATAAATGGCAAACACACAAAATCTCATAATTGATTAGCATAGCCATTTAAAAAAGGAACATAAAACTGAAAATTTGTGTTATGAGGAGAACATCCCCAAAAACATTGATTGATTTTTTAAAAAAATGGTTTAATTTTATTTCCAAAAGAAATAAAACAAATATTAACAGACAGTTTATATAAGTATCCATTTCTGCAGATAATCTGGATAGATCTTCAATTCAGTATTTCATTGTTGTTGTTGTTAGTTGCGAAGTCATGTCCGACCCATTGCAACCCCATGGACAATGCTCCTCCAGGTCTTCCTGTCCTATACTATCTTCTGGAGTCCATTTAAGCTCACGCCTACTGCTTCAGTGACTCCATCCAGCCACCTCATTCTCTGTCGTCCTCTTCTTCTATTTCCCTCAATCTTTCTCAGCATTAGGCTCTTCTCCAGTGAGTCCTTCCTTCTCATTAGGTGGCCAAAGTATTTGAGTTTCAACTTTATGATCTAGCCTTCTAAAGAGCAATCGGGGTTGATCTCTTCTAAGACTGACCAGTTTGAATGCCTTGCAGTCCAAGGGACTGCAAGGAGTCTTCTCCAGCACCATAGTTCAAAGGCCTCAATTCTTTGACGCTCAGCCTTTCTTATGGTCCAACTTTCACAGCCATACATTGCAATTGGGAAAACCATGGCCTTGACTATACGCACTTTTGTTGGCAGGGTGATGTCTCTGCTTTTTAGTATGCTGTCTAGATTTGCCATAGCTTTCCTCCCCAGGAGCAAGCGTCTTTTAATTTCTGATTAAGGGTCTACCGGCGGAGGGAAAACAGCCACTCGACTGCGTACACCACGATCCAGAAGTCATGATCTTGGTTTTCTTAATGTTAAGTTTCAAGCCAACTTTTGCACTCTCCTTCTTCACCTGCATCAAGAGGCTCTTTAGTTCCTCTTCACTTTCTGCCATTAGAGTGGTATCATCTGCATATCTTAGGTTGTTGATATTTCTCCCGGCAATCTTAATTCCAACTTTTGGTTCATCTAGCCCTGCCTTTCTCATGATGTGCTCTGCATATAAGTTAAATACTCATATAAGTTAAATACTAAAATCAAGGAAACTGTAAGTCCACTAAACAGATAAGATGGCAAGGAAATAACAGGCAACAGGGAGAAAGCAGAGCTGCTCAACTCACACTTTGTATCAGTCTTCACACAAAAAGAAACTATAATCCAACATACAAAAAAAAAACCCCACTGCAAAAGACAAACTAGAAACAAAAATTAAAATAAGTAAGAAAATGGTAAGAGAACACCTATCCGACCTTGACAAATATAAATCACCGGGATCTGACAGATTACATCCCAGAGTTCTGAAGGAGTTGGCAGATGTTATATCAGAACCATTGTACCACATCTTTCATAAATCCTGGAGCACCGGGGAAGTATCTTGTTATTTAAAATTATAAATTATCGCAGCCTTTTTCTTATTTTCTTCTTGTGATAATGTAGGAGCATAAACATCTGACAGTGGTTTGTAAAAGAACTGTGGTTTAATATACAATATGAAACAACAATAATCAGGGAGCATACAGAATATAACATAGTCAGGGTTTTTTATTGAAAATTTTATAAAAGTTTTACAATATAATTCCCCCCCTCCCCAAAACCCACCCTTCCACTCCCCCCTACCTCCCCCCCACTTCCCAGAGCCAATCACAGGGTTAACAATACAATAATCATACTCTATCTAACATTAATCAACTATTAAAATAACAAATCTGTTTAACTCTCCTTTAACTCTCTTTTAAACAGATATACTAGTATTAAACACAATAATTATAACATCATGTTAATAATTAGAAATAAAAATAAGTAAACTATTATAACATATAAACTACATTAATACGCTAAGATTCACTCAAAAACCAAATGAAACTTTTTAGTTCCATATTTACTCTCAATATAATCTATCCATCTTCTCCAAACCGAAATATATCTTTCTTATGAATAGTCCTTCACATAAGCGGAGATCTTGGCCATTTCTACTAAATTTGAGACTTTAAGTGACCATTCTTCTATAGTGGGCAAATGTTCCGTTTTCCATAGTCTTGCAGCAGTTATCAAGTTCAACATCAAGTCCATTTCTTTTGTATCCAAATCTTCCATAATACCCAGCAAAAATATCTGCGGTTTAAACTTTTTCTTTTTCTTAAAAATATTTTGAATATTCCACCATATCTTAATCCAAAATGCTTTTACTTCCCTGCATGTCACCAAATATGAAAATAGGTTGCATCTAAGTTTCCACATCTCCAACACTTAGGTTGTAAATTAAAATACATGCAGGACAGTTTTTGAGAATCCAAATGCCACCTTAAACTAATTGCGTTCTGATCTGCTATTAACATCCACTTTTTGTTGATCTCTTTCTTTGTGTCTATGAGCTGCATGGGTCATTCTTTGTGATTTCGGATCATCTTTAATTTCCATAAATTGTTGCTTAACTTGATTTTAATCTTGTAGTTTTGTAACAATTGATGATGATATGGCACCTTCAGCCACTTTATCTTCAAAGATTCCTTCCTTCCTGGTACCTTGTGGAGATAATGGTGAACCTGCTTTCAAGATTGAGATATAAAAGTCCCTTGCCTTTGCAATCGTGTTGAGCCTATAACGTGTTCCCATGTGATTCACATTATACCAAGAGGTATATCCCATCTAAATTGAATTTGTCGCTTTTTCAACTCTTCAGCCAGGAAGGCGAAATCCTTCCTTCTTCTAAGTATTTTGGGTGGTATCTCCTTTAAAATTATAACATCTTGTCCTGAAATTTGAAATTTCTGCTTATAAAAAGCTTGAATAATTTCATTACAGATTGATTTTCTGGAAAAGTAGATAACAACATCTCTTGGAAGGTTTCTCTGTCTTGCAACCCATGAATTAACTCTAAAAATTTTTCCCATTTCTCTCATAATTTCTTCAGGTTGACAGGACAAAACCAAAGCCAAATCTGCTGCAATCTCTTCCTCCAAATTTTCTTGAGCATTTTCTTTCAATCCCCTTATTCTCAAAGCATATTCCATTTCTCTATATTGTAACATAATGACCTCATTTTGAGTTAAATCCACGTTCTCCTCCACTTTTCCCAATCTAAACTCCAGACATTCAACATGTTCCTCCACTTCATCCACCCGTTGTTCTGTCCCCCGTCCGACTCACACACCCCAACCAGTCAGCCGAGGGCTGAGAAACTGCTCAGCACAGCCAAATACAGATGAACACTTGGCAGCAACTCTGTGGCTACCTGCCAAGGCTTTTACTGATAACACAATACAAACATACGATAAGTCCAGGATAAATTGCTGGAGTGCTGCAACAGGAGATTCAGCAAAATTGTTTGTCACAAAAGTTTCAAACGGCACACCTCTTGCTTATATAGCCTGTGGGGTGTGGCCCAGTGACTCAGCTGAAATCTCTGGCACGACATTTCAGCTGCTGTGCACGCTTGTCCCTCCGATGCTGGCGTGGATCCAGCCAAGACGTATGCTCCTCAGAGTCCGATACACCTGGCTCCTGGCCAATCCCAGAAGCACCGGGCTCCTGGCCAATCTCCTCTCCGTCGGAAGGCACCGAAGGCCGCACCAGAGGGGAAGGTCCTGGAGAGGGAGGCCTGGCCATCTCCTCTCCTTCATGTTCAGAGGCTTCCTCCTCTGATGAGAGGGACCCACAGGACGGAGCCACAACACTATCCCCCACCGCAGGGCCCTTTCCCCGGGTCTGATGGTCGGGATGTGGTTGGGACAGAAACTGGTCGTGAAAGGCCCGTACCAGGTCAGGGGCCTGAACGGAAGACGCGTCCACCCAGCTGAAATCTTCGGGCCCGTACCCCTTCCAGGCGATGAGGTATTGGAAGCACCCCTTCAGCCAACGGGAGTCCCAAATACTGTCCACCTCGTACGTCGAGGCGTCGTCCTCGTCGGCTGCGACCGGAGAGGCAGGCGTTGTCGGGCGTCGGAGATGGCTCGCAGGGGCCTCAGGGACCAGGAGGGACCGATGAAACACGGGGTGGAGCCGCATGGAGCGTGGTAGAGTCAACCGGTAGGCCACCGGGTTGATGACCGCCTCGACTGGGAAGGGACCGATAAAGCGGTGGTCCAATTTCCTCACCGGCCGGTCCAAGGGGAGGTGTTTCGTGGACAGCCACACCCGATCTCCGACTTCGAGCGGTGGCGTTGCCTGTCGGGAGCAGTCGGTGACCCGTTTATAGTCCTCCTTCGCCTGGATCAGCTGCCGTCGCACCAGTTGCTGCACCGCCTGCAGCTCCGAAAGGAAGTCCTGGGTCTCGGGAACAGGGGAATCTGGGATCGCCAACGGGAAAAAACGTGGATGGTATCCGACATTGGTGTGGAATGGGGTCATCTGGGTGGAGGTGTGTTGGGAGTTGTTGAATGCGAACTCCACCAGGGGAAGGTACTCAGCCCAGTTGTCCTGCTGTTGGTTGACGAAACAGCAGAGGTACTGCTCCAGGATGCCGATGACCTTCTCCTTGCCCCCGTCAGTCTCCGGATGGTGCGCCAATGATAGGCACACCTGCACCTCCAGCGCAGCCATCAGGCTTTTCCAGAAGTGGGCCGTGAACTGGGCCCCGTGGTCTGACACCACCCTGTCCGGCAGGCCATGGAGGCGAAAGATGTGCTGCAGGAACAGACGGGCCATGGTGCGGGCGGATGGCAGTCCGCGGCACGGGATGAAATGGGCCATCTTCGTGAGCATGTCCACCACCACGAGGACGGTCGTGAACGTGGCGGACAGTGATAGATCCATCAGGAAATCCATGGAG